TCTCTCTCTCTCTGAAAATTTTGAAATTGATTCTCAATATGGTAAAATAGGTACTTTCTTGTCTTGAGTAATTAATTCACCTCTCTGCCATCAAGATGTGTGCATATTTTGATCCTGTGGTAGCACTGATGGTTTAGACAAGAGGCAAGAGTAGTCTTCATCGGGTTCTACATTCCATAACTGGGGTGTGCGATAGACTTACCTCCACGAGGTGCACCCTGGGCAACGTATACTCATACGGCAAAAAAGTCTATTACCTGGCAGTTGACTTCAAACTACCATGACCCCACTGTATGTCATATTCGACTACTTTCACAGTACTCATCCCACCTTTTTTCCACCTTATCTACCTTCGTCTTTGATACGCTCTTCTGTTCCCCCCCCCTGCCATTTGATATAATAATAATAATAACATTTCATAACTAAAGTTTCCATAACTCCGATCATTCGGATTGTGCAATGCAACCTCCGGACAAATCAGACATGAACTGAGAAATTCAAAGATTCCATTTAGTGTAAATTATGTACACAAATGGAAATAACGCTCATAAGTATTGGAAAAAAGGCTCTATTCCGTTAATATTTTTATTTTTATAAATATCATATTTCTGAGTATACCAGCTCTCAAAAATGTCGATAGTAGTCAGTAGCTGCCTAATTTTGCCTGAAATTTAGAGAAATATTTTAAAAAATTTTACAAACTTTTACATTATTTTGCTCCGATAATTTTCAATAGACCGAAGAAGCATGACCAACTACGGAAATCATTCAACCGGTCAATTAGTCCTGAATATAATCCACTTAATCGCAACTATGCCAATTCATGAGATTCGAAAATGATCTTTTTTCCACAGTAATTAAAGCTCTTGACGCCTTGAACTCTAAATATCAGCAGATGCTTGGTCTAAGAAAATTTCAAAAAAATCTTACAGTATTGTCTTCTTTAAGACCAAAAGAATTGTCAAAAGTGACATATGGTAAATTGCCTTTGACCTCAATGGTCGAAGGGAGCCGTGTCTTTCTTGAGTTGTGTAGCGGATTGCAACTTTATTAAAGCCTGACTGACTCAGAAATCTCTATGGCAGATTCTCCTACATCTAGCTAGACTCCCGAAATTAGCTAAGCTATAGCCCAGCTATAAAAGGAAACAGACGTGTAGCAAGGAGCACGTTTATCCAGTGAGTATATTGCGAATAAAGTGTACACGCATGGAGCTACTCATGATCAGGATGGGGGATTAGGTTAAACAGAGGTTAATGATTGGTTACTGTTTGTACGGTCGCTGCACACAGAGTTGTACGGCCGCACCTCCCAATCCTGGCGAGCAGACATGCAGGCATACGATGAAGCACACAGCGATAACGTGCCCCACAGTTGTTAATATAGCTCAATCTTGGTATTATTTCATAGTTCGTATCGTAATAACGCCTATTATCTGCTTGTACCGAAAAAACAGCCATAAAACATTGAAATCGCGTCTCTGGGATATCGCTCAAGATATGTTACGCTCACAGTGCAAATAGTTTATTAAGAACCCTCGAAGGAAAATGCTTGCGTATAAGCAATGCGTAGTAATTGGATTAATTCGTAAGAATCTGAGCCTTTCCTCTAAAAAATAAATCAAATTGAAAACCTATTTTCTCACGGAGGCCTCAATAAGAAGAAAAGACAATTGAATACCGTGAAATCATCTTAGGAACATTGTAAGTGTTCTCTCAAAATCAAAATTTCTCAACATAGGCCCACAAATACGACATTGTTAAATGCAATTTCTTTCACTGATTGCACAATTATTGCGAACAATTTGCACTCTTAAATAAGTAATTCAGCAACCAATAAAATATGAGCTTAAATAATTGATGGCATGGGGTTTTAGAAAGGAACATTTCACTACTGACGTTCGAACAGGATATTTGGTGAGTGTAAATAAAAAGAACACTCCCAATATCCAAAAGGTTGCATGTTCTAGCCAACAATTGCAGAGCAAATTAGTGGACAATCAGTTCTTTTACCCTGCAGTGGACTCATAGTTATTGACGAGCGTATGAGTGGCAATAATAATACGTAGGTAAACATGACTTTCGTCTCCAATAGGAGTTTATGCGTCTTTTTGAAAAATGATCGGTTCATTTTTAGCTTGTAAGATCATTACGATTTACAAAGTTGAAAATAATCTCCGCTTGATTCGAGGTTGATTGGCTTCAAACAAAATTTAAACTTTATTGTGGGGCCACAGTACGTCTAAAATTTTTGTATGCTCTGAAATGTTAAACTCGCTCAAGCTCGTGCCATTATATTAGTTTCCATGAAATTGAAAATCAAGTTGTACTGCAGCCTATTTGAATTATTTTTTCTCAAACGAATTTCCCTTTTTACCATCGGAAAAAGATGAAGAGTTTGAGAAATGGGACAATACATACAAATGCCAATCTCACACGTATATATCTGAATCTCTTTCATTTATTTATTTCAAATGGAAGGCTTTATGATATTTATCATTAGCCCTTAAACTTTGACTTCAGCTTCCCCCAAGGGTGGGGGGTACATATAAAGCAGTTCATTAATAGCAGTTCATTAGCAGTCTTCTTGCTTCCTAGTATCTCTGGCTTTCCGTCATTGTTTTTAGAGATGGACACCGAATCAGATGGGTCTTCTCCATTTCCTCCTGTAGGTTACATAGGGGCATGTTGCTTGAATGTATACTCCCAATCTGCGAAGATGTTTCGCTAAGCAATCGTGTCCGGTACATAGTCTAAACTCAGCAACGGCTTCGATTCTTGACTAGTCGGCTATGTCGGAAAGTGCCACTGTCCACTGTTTCTCCTCTGTTCGAGGTTTAAGTTCGTTGCACCTTGAGGTCTTGAATTCTCTCCTGATTAAGGTCTTCATTGTGTGGAAAGACATTGGCCGGTTTATGCATTGCAAAATCTTTGTCCCCTTCTTAGCAAGTGTGTCAGCAAGCTCATTGCCTTTAATGCCACAGTGACCAGGAATCTATTGTAGGATCAGCTGCTGAGAGAGAATCTCTTTCATAGAGACACCCTAATGGTTGAGGTTGAGTGAAACAAAACTACGCGAGTTGTATGCTCCATACAGCCTAAGTAAAGCGAAACGCAATAATTGCGAAATCTATTACTAATCAATCCATGTTAATTGCTTTTGTCAACAATCAATTTTCTTTTTTCCATGTCTATTTTATGAGTTTCATTGCCACCCCTTGATTTCGCATAACAGTTAAATGTGTAATATTTGAACCATTATTGGGCTTATAGCAAAGTACCGACTAGTTATGTTTATTGCCAGTCGATGTAAGCAGAATTCTGCAGTTTCGCTTATTTTCCTGAGAAACATAGTACTATATTGTTTAGTCGAGACAATTATTACGAATAAAATTGAATCTTCTTATTCATAATTTGAAAATATGATTAATGATCAAGATCTAAAGCTCACATAAGAGTATGCAGTTTAATTCATTTTAAATAAATAGCATGAAATAGTTGAACAAAAAATTAGTACGCAGAAGCAAGAACTGTTGGTTCAGGTGAGGTGAGTAAACAACATTTGGATGATTTAGTTTTACTACAATGAATAAGTAGTGTAATGGATCGTGAAAGAATGGAATTCAGAAGTGTATTTTTGATCAAAATACTCAATAATCAAAAAGTCTTTGAGTATTGACTAAATGGAACCTATTACGAAAAAATTGTAATCGTTTGTACTTATGCTGTGTTAGCAACGAACATGGACTATCAAAATTTATTAGTTAAGTTAGTAATAAAATAAGTAGAAGCTAATAAATTTTACTTTAAAATGAATGCCAGAACATAAAAATTAAAAAAGGCTATTTTAAAGAAATTAAAGTTTTGTTAGTATCAGCTAATTCATAAGCACTGACCATGAAAATCTCAGTCAAGAAAGTGCGCATTTGTTAAGCTTTTATTATCTTGGGATATTCCAGCATTTTGTATCTCTTTCACCCCGTTTTCCCCATATCCTCCGTGTTATAATTTTCATGGTCCTTTTGGATGGGGAACTTAATTCACAAAAAGGCCTCTAATGAGGTCTGTAGAACTGTCTATCCCTGTACGTCATACTCCCGTGATTTGCCAAATTTCGAAGACCCGAACAAGAAATTTTCCAACAATTATGTAAAAACCACAAAATATACACTTTGGAATTTTCTCTTCCTTAATTTATGGGAGCAATTGCACAGACTCGCTAACTGTTATTTCATTTTCATCCTGGTGCTCAACTTCATGCCACGGATTGAGGCATTTGGGAAAGAACTAGCGATACTCCCAGTCGCAGCAGTGTTAGCCCTAACAGCTCTTAAAGATGGCCTTGAGGATTTAAGGAGATTTCGTGCAGACCAAATTGTAAATAATACGGAAGTGAATGTTTTTAGTGTGTAAGTTTACAATTTATAATCTGCTAATGCGTGTTCAAAATAGAGAAACAGGGCAGTACGTGAAACGAAAATGGGCTGAACTTCGTCCAGGAGATTTTGTTAAACTTGCTACGAACGAAGTCATCCCTGCAGATATTCTACTTTTGAAATCTTCTGATATCTCTGGAATGTGTCACACGGAGACATCTAACTTAGATGGTGAATCGAATCTGAAACAACGTGAATGTGTCCATTTTCCTGAGATAAAGGCAAGCTTATTCTTTCATTTTCATTTCGAATTCGCACTCTGCTAGAACTCATATAATTTTTCTTATAAGCTTCACTCGGTGGTGTTCATCCTAGTCATTGCGCAATTATCTATAATATGGCCTTATATATTATGGAAAACGTATCGATCTCCAATTGATTGCGAGTAGTATTCTTTTTTCTGATGGATTAAGTTCAGTTTTAAAAGAAAGCATAGTGGGTTTTGTGATACGGACGCTTATATTTCAACCGACTCGTTATTTGAAAGGATTATACATGTCAGTTTACCACATTTCTGCTTTCTTATAGGTATTCACACCAGAGAAATTTACTTGGCCTGTAGAGGTTGAAGCTCCGAATCCCTTGTTAAATCGATTCAATGGAAGAATGTAAGCCTGACGATCTATCTTAAAACTTATTTGTCCTTATCTAAATTTTAAATATAGCTTTTTTCGCCATTTCAAGCTTCAGTCATGCATCCCAACCGACTATCTTGAGAAAAGAGAATCTGCTTCTTCGTGGAAGTATATTACGAAATACGGATTCTGTTGAAGGCATGGTCATTTACGCAGGTAAGGCAGTTGGTTGCTTATGAACAGTATTAAAATCTACTACGCATGGTCATTTCAGAGGCAATGCTTTGTTGGATCGTTTATTTAACACCTCACTCAATATTGGCTTACTAAGTCTGGCTCAATTTACTTTGTTTTATTTATTGTCTTATTTGTCAATAATACCCAGAACCAATTGGTTGATAATGGTAGCCAAGGTGCAAGCATAATATTTCCAACTAGGATAAATTTTTACACAATTGATCTCAACAATAAAACTACTCATAACATTATTTGTTACAGTATTTTGTTTGTGTTGAAGATTGTTGAAGTTAGCATGGCATTTCTTTCTGCCTCATTTCTAATAGAATTATCCGGATCGAAAACTAGATGGACATGGGGTTTTAAAAGTGTCTCCGTTTTAAGACTAGGATAAAGGATTTAGAGAGGAAAAGTGAGAGACTAATGTAAATCGAACGGCTGATTCCGTCACTGTTAGAACATTCATTGCTATTATAAAAATGTCAACTAATTAATGTTTAAATAAATTGGATATTGTTGGCGTATATATTTATTTATATCAAATTGCAGGCATCTTGTTGGTTATCATTAGGCCTTTAGTTGACTTCAGGCTTCACAGATGGGAAGGAGCATCAAATTGAAAAGGGTCGAGATGGGGGGGGACAGAAGAGTGTTTCAAAGATGTAAAAGAGACAGACACAAAGTTGGGAAAAAGATGAGGTGAGTACGGTTGAAGTAGTCGAATTTGACATACAGTGGAGTGATGGTAGTTTGGAGTCTGAAGTCTAATAACATATGATGACACCTCCACTTTGAGTTTATTTTCATAC